AGAGAGAGAGAGAGAGAGAGAGAGAGAGAGAGAGAGAGAGAAGAAAAAGAAAAGAAAACCCCCACCTCGAACTGCAATACTAAAGACTGGGATCCAGGCCAAGAAACAAGAAGCATACTGGTGGTGATGATGAGCCTGAGGTCAGGTGGTCTTGGCGAAGGACTGTAGAGGTGAGCTGGACCTTTCTTTGGATGAGAAGCCCTCTAAAACATTGTTACATTTTGCTGTCTGGGGACAGAGCTGTACAGGCCTAACAGGAAAGAACTCAGGTGCTGTCATCTCGGGACTCTCTCATAGCAGGATTCCAGTGAGTGCATTAAAGAAACACCTTCAAACAAGGACACCTGCCTGGGGCTATTGTACCTTCACTAGACATTTTTAGTTTACAGTTAGACAAAGGACTGGGTGTATAGAAAGCAACTATTGGACTCTCCTGCTGGAGAATCACCCAAAAATCAAACAAAATGTTCCACCTGACAGGAAAGCCATCCTCCACCTCAGCCCCCCTTAGGACAATGATACCAAAAGAAATGAAATGTTTCAAAATAAATTTAGCCCAAAAAACATAATGTAGAGTTGTACACAAAAACTCTGAGAGGCATGAGATGGTTCAGTGGGTAATGGCATGTGCTGCCAAGTCAGATGACCCGAGTTCAATCCTTGGAACCCATATGGTAGAAGGTGAGAATCTACTCCTGCAGGCTGTCCTGTGACCTCCACACACATGCTGGCATGCTTAGTGCGCTCTCCACACACAAATAAATACAAATTTTTAAATAAATTAATCCAATTATTTTCTTCTAGGAGCAGTCAATAATGTTGAGTGTATGTTCTCAACATCTGTTATCACAACATAACCTTGTATTCATTGTTGTCTAATTTTATTTTTGTGTGTGTATGTATGTATGTGCACCATGTGCCTGCAGAGGGAAGAATAGGACGCTAAGTCCCCTGAAACGGAGTTACAGACAGTTGTGAACCATGATGTAGGTTTTGGGAATCGAACCTGGGTCCTCTCCAAGAGCAGCAAGGACTCTTAATCACTGAGCCATCTCTCCAGCCCTCTGTTATTGAATTCTTGCTTCTAAGTAATTGCATTATCCTGTAACTAGGTCATGGGGCCTTTGAACATAGGAGATGTATCTTCCTGTAACACATATTCCGTGGCATCCTTTGCATAATATGTATTTGTTAGCTTGAATCTCGCCTCATGCAAGAAAGGGGAGGGGGCCCCGGGGAACAAACATCAACTACTCACGATGGAATGTGTGAAGAAGAGTGGAATTCTTGCTAAAGAACTGGAATTGTAAGGCAGCCTACTTTTACACTTTAAAAAAAAGGGGGGTTGGAGATCCAAGGCACACACCTTGGGGATGCAGGAAATGTTAGTCCACATCTCCTTTCAAGACTTCACAGAGCCAGGTGAAGTGGCACACACCTTTTAATCCTAGCACTAGAGGGGCAGAGGCAGGAGGATCTCTATGTGTTTGAGGCCAGCCTGGTCTATAGAGTGAGTTCCAGGACAGTCAGGGCTGAATGATTAGACCTTGTTTAAAAAAAAAAAACAGACAAACAAACAAACAAAAAATCATACTTATGACTGTCAAAAACCTCGTCTTGTGGCTAGGGATGTAGCTAAGGGATAGAGATGCAAGGCCCTAGCTTCTAGCCTCAGCACTGCAAACAAACAGAGTCTTCCTGGAAGAAAGCAAGACATAAAGACATGTGATAATCTATACAAAGTTTATTTTGCTATCAGTTTGTATGGAAACAAGCAGGTGTCAGCATTATGCAGGCACAGAAAAAGGGGAAAGAAAAAACTCCAGTGCTGATTCTCTTGTATTTACACCATTTGGTTTCAACAAGGACAGGAAGCTTTACTGTTAGCTTCCTGTGGGAACTCCAGTTTCTGCACCTTGCCTTGCTGCCTCTCAGCATCACGATACAACAGGGATTTCTGGGCCTTCAGCCGGCAAGCCAGGCACATGAAAATTGACTCCACGTTCTGGCTTTCTTTGGGGTCCTTGGCTGATGTCTCAAACAAGAGCATGTTGTGGGCATCAGCAAATTTCAGGGCTAAGTTGGAGGGTACCTGGATCTGTTCCCTCAAGTCACACTTGTTACCCACAAGCACCTTTGGGACTAGTGCGGGCACAGCATGCCCGTTGCATTCTTGGATCCACATTTTTAAGTTGGTAAAGGAGGTCATCTTGGTGACGTCATAGACAAAGACCACAGCATGCACATTGCGGTAGTAGTGCTCGACCATGCTTTTACGGAAGCGTTCCTGTCCTGCTGTGTCCCACACCTGAACCTGCAACAAAAACCCACATGTGAAGTCGGAAAAGGAAACATGGGCATATGAGAAAAAGCATAGTCTTAAAGCATTAGAAAATGCGCTTACAAGTCCGGATACAGCAAGTGGTTCGGGACAGATTAGCAGAATGGACCTATCAAAGCTCAGAGAGAAGTTTTAGAGTTTGCTAAGTTTTTTTTTCTTAAAATTTCTCAATGAAAATACAGAGTTGAAAAATCTAAGAGATTTTTTACAGTTTAAAAATAGCACGCAAGGGCCGGGCGTTGGTGGCGCACGCCTTTAATCCCAGCACTTGGGAGGCAGAGGCAGGCGGATCTCTGTGAGTTATAGGCCAGCCTGGTCTCCAAAGCGAGTTCCAGGAAAGGCACAAAGCTACACAGAGAAACCCTGT